GCACCTGACCAAAAGCCGCAGGTGTTTCAATATTGACTCATCATATGTAAGAGAATATGCACAAAGCGAATTGTCAGGAAAGAGATGGCTGTTTGGAGACACACCCCTTTTATTAATATTTTGAAAATCAAGTTATGGGTACATATTTGCACATGTGCTGTGCTTCATAAATGAGTAACAAATGTAGTACATAACAGTAACCTACAGCACACCAGAAAAATAGATTCGGACTACCTTTTAGGCTCAGGTGCAGTGACACGGCTTTAACAAGAAGAAAAGTCAGTCATTCACCACCATTTTCCTGCGCACTAAAACCACCAAAGTCCTCTCCTCCAGTGTCGGATACGAACAGGCTCAGGATGGCTACGTCATCCACTCTCAGCTTCTTTCCTTCGTTGTCACTTTCAAAACCAAAGAAATCCTCATTGTCATTGTCGGAGTCGAACACCCTCAGCAGGGCCGTGGCGGTGTCCTCCTCTTCATCATGCAGCAGTCCAGCCCTTCGAAATCCGTTGGTGATCGTGGATGTTTGCACACTTTTCCACGCTGTCAGAATCCACCGGTGGAGTTGAGCACAACTTGCTTTTCGCAAGTTTATCGCCGCTCGTCATCCACGACTCCCGCTGAACGCGTAGCGCTACTTTGAAGTTTGTTTTTCGCGCTACTTGTACGGCACTATGTTGCCTGGCGGATGGACATGTGACCAACATACCACTCTTGAACCCCGATCCTTCCGCCAGGCAACGTAGTGCCGTACAACAGCGGAACAAACAAAACAAATCGTCTTACGATATGACAAAAATCATGGACAATCTATAGAAAAGCCGCACCTGACTAAAAGCCGCAGGGTTCAAAGCTTGTGCAAAAAGTAGCGGCTTATAGCCCGACAATTACGGTATGCTCAATGCATAAAAAACCCAACCTGTACATCAAAACTTTGTTTAAAGGTTGTCAGACGTCCACGTGACATCAGGCAGTATGTTTTTAAAAAAAGCAAATACGACATTCATTTGATTGTATGACTGTGGTCAAGAAACATATTTGCCCTTTACATGCATCTACATGTAAATGACATCTCTAAAAGTGTTATGTCTCACTGTGGGTTGCACCGTGTTACTGTGGTAGAAGTTACGTTTGGTAGTACTGCTGCCTTGAGGAAGAAGGTTCTGGGTTCAGGTCTACTGGTTGGCTAACAGGCAACCACTTTTCTTTTTTCAATGTTTGTTCAAGATCTGAGTTTTCACCTTCGAACCAAACCTGAGCATTAAGATGTCGGGCAAAACTTCCTTTTCACTGAGTGTTTGCTGGATGGGAACCATCTCAATACACAACACAGGCGAATTTGACCACATGTAAAACTTCTCCCATCATATTAACCTTCAAATTTTTAATCGAGCTGTTTGCTATATTTACTTAAAGATATTGCACTAATATTTATCATTCACAGTCATTCATTTCAGGGAGTATAATCTGAAGAAAAGCATTTTACCAGATATCTGAAATAAAAGATGTACCTTGATGCCCAGGTCTTCAAGACTGTTTGTTCGTGGTAGTTTGGGGGCATCTTCACTTTCTTTGTCTTTCTCCTTCTCCTCAAGCTGCAAACCACTAATGCCTTCCACGGTAGACAGGAGCGACATGAGGTTGACCTCTGGCTTCGCTATTTTGGCATCTTCAGGATACAATTTTAAAAAGACAAAATCATTAATTTATCTACTTTTAGACCATGTAGTATTTTTTTTTTTGTTGGGACAGTCTGAGTTCTAACCTTTGTCAGTAAAGTCCATCCCAGCTTTTAGTCCAGGGGCCACCTTCAGTAAATCTATAAAAGAGTAATGACAAACTCAAACTCTAAGAGGTGAAATAATAAAATATGTTTGACTTTATTTTACGTTGATCCTGCTTAAAAGAGGGAAAAAAATCACCACTCTCAAAGTCAATTTCCTCCTCCAGCTCAGATTTCTTCTTGATTTGTTCAAGCGTCAGTTCCTCCATTCCTCCTGTGACAATAACAACAAGAATATTAATAGATAACAAAACTCCTCAGTTTTGACATCTGAACTAAAGAAAGATACAGGAAATCACTAAGAAAAAATGCTTTGAATGAATGAAAGAATCTCACCGGGGAGGAACGGGTAGTTGGTGTTGCTTCCTCGAAGGCTTTCAGAAGGAGGCCCAGGCTGGCGCTGCAATGACAGCGAGTTCTTTGCAGACAGGCCGGTGTTCTCCAGTAACACCTACAGGTGAAAAAAAGAAGAAGAAAGAATACAGACCCAAAATGAAATGAATCAAGCCAACCTTTGATTACAGTGATAATGCGCAGGACCATAATGATAACCTGCTGCTAGACTCTGACTCTTCAATATGAACAAACAGATCTGAAGATAAAAGCAGAAGTGAAAAATAGTGACAACTTGAGTGTGAAAATTTTGTTTTTGCTTTTTAAATTAAATCTAGGTGGCCCTAAAATCTAAAAGATCTATTTTTTTCCAAAATGGATAAAATCAGTCTTGAAAAATATGTATAGAAATATGCATGTAAAGTTTTGGCCAATGACACAGTTGCTATACACAACCACAGTGAATTTCAAATCAAACAATCAAGATTTGATTGAAAAGCAAACTTGGCTTAATTCAAGGAGTTTAACAAAAGTTTTAACTGTTAAGGAATTACAGCCATTTAATACACAGTCCTCTAATTTCATAGGCTAAAAAGAAACTGGATAATTGATTGACAAGCAGTTTTATGATTAGGTCAGGCCTGTTCCTTCATTCTTCCATGACACATTAAATAAGAGAAAAGCTCTGGGGTTGATTCCAAGAGTTGGGCTTGCATTTGGTAGCTGTTCACTGGATCACTAAAAAGCCTAAAGAGATGCTGAAGAATGTGAAGGAGACCATTTTTAGGCTGAAAAAGCCAAATTAAACTTCTCAGAGAGTAAGGCATCTCCAAAAAAAGAAGTTGATCCAAGTATTAAAATGAACCACATATTTAAAACGACCACACATATTTAAAGCTGAAACAGCAAAGCACTTTTAATAAACAATAAGATACTCTTTGTCAGGTTCAATAATGATTTGACAATAATGATTTTATTTTAATAAGGAAAATGTTGCCACGTTACCTCAGTGAAGTCCAGCAGCATTCCTGTGGTCGGATCTCTGACAACAGACAGTCCCGAGTGAAGCGGAGATGGACAACAGTTGAGCAGAGAGTCAACGTCAACCTTCCTCTGGGTCACCCTGATGAGAACAGCAACACACACACACAAAAATCACATCTTTAAACATACGTTGATTTTAACCCAATAATAATTACAATATCAGATTTGACTTTCCCCCCGTAGACAGGTTAGATTTCAGGAAGCAATGATTTCAAGAAACTCTCTTAATTATTTAGTGAAATCAATAAATATGCCTATTAGTGTTTTTTTTAATTAGCAATATAACAAACATAAATACTTGAGAAACTTCTGGAAGGCAAAGTCTTTGTCGTGTATAGGAAGCCATGCAGGGTCTCTTAAAAACTGTTTCTCTACTTCTGTCTCCAGGTTCAGGTTTGTGGGAGGAAGCCCGTGAGGGAGCTGTGGATGGAAAAAAAAGAGATCAGAGAGACATCCTGAAGAGCCACATAAACAAAACAAGTCAAATAATTCCCCTATATTTACATAAGTTATAAATGAACACCATCAACTATCCCCCAAAGATAAAACACAATCAAATCTTATTTAATATAAGCAATCAGCTCAGGTGAAACTAAACCATAATGTTAAGTCACTTAGATAATATGAAATTTTAATAAGCATCACTTTGAATAAGTTCTGAAGAAGCTAAATGTGCTAGATTAGGTGACTTGAATACAAAAATGTATGGGTAAAGCAATTGTACAAGGATTGGCTTTATTTGTTTTTGTTTTTATTTTGTTTCTTGTATCTAAAGTAATTCTCATTAGGAAACAAATAAATTAAATATTTTAAAGTCTTTGGGTCAACCCCCAGATTTGTATCTACTCCCTTGTTTATTTCAGAATGGGGAAAAAGTAGGTCTACATGGGTTTTCACTCACACTGCATAATCATAAAATCATAATACAAGGGAACAGGGCTTTAGTCTTAAAAAGCTCCACTGCAACGGCATCAGTGATTTCCAACCACAAGCCCGGAAGCATGCCATTATCGTTGAGTTGAAGAATTCTTAATCCTTTACATTAGGTTGTAACACAGACCAAATCATTTTATTGGACTACAACTTAGCTAAAATAGTATGAGTAAACAGTATCTTACTCCTTACTGACCGTGCTATGTGGAGGCAAAGACTGGCCGGGCACGGGGTGTGTGATAAGCTCAAACCTGCCAGAGCATCCCATCTCCAGCAGGGACATGGGCAGATCCATGGGGCCCGGAGGGGGCACATCTGCAGAGAGACAACATAAAGAGTCTGAATGGATGAGCAAGCACACATTCACGCAGGCTGCATTAAAAAGATGAAGAAAAAGACTGTCAGGTTAAATTAACCATTTATCTGGTCGTATTTATTCCGTAAATGCTTAACGGATATTACCACACTTACTTGCTGATTAGCTAAATATTAAATCTGTGCTTTATGAGGGTGCAGAAAGAAGCTACTCTGTTAGCCATAGCATCATAAGCTACATCAATGGAGCTAGTTAACCAAAAATAAACATAATACAGTTAGATATTTATAATTATTTAAGGAGCGGGCTTGACAAATTACAACCCACAACGTACTTAGTCTATCCATGCCCCCACAGTCGTTAACGAAAGCTAAAAGTTGCCACAAAGTAGTTGCTGCAGTGGCCACGGAAGTTGCCAAAATTGACAAGCGGAAGTGGCTAGCAAAAAACTGCTCGACTTAAACGCAAAGACATAAAATTCTTTAAAAAAAATATTACAAAGACTTTTATAAGATAAAATGTTTTATAAGTTAGAAATATCGTTTTCTGTACTTTTTAAAATAATATTATAAACTTTTTTGCAAAAACAAAACAAAACATAAAGAGAACAACGTCACATTTACGCGCCGGCGTTATTCTTCCTATTAGCCATTGCAACTGTTTGAAGCAGGTAAGCGATTAAAACAGATTAAAATAATGGACATTTCTTTATTTTATAGCTCCTGTAGGACTTCACTGGTATCTTGATATCGAGGTAGACTTCGGATTTACACCCTGTCTGGATTGAGTGAACAGTTTTTTTATTTTATCTGAAAGAAGTCGAGTTGTGGTTTCTGGCTAATTAGCTTGTGGCCAGCTGGTGGTGGTAAATCAATAGGGGAATCTGTTATTTTTTGTTTACCTCTCTTAAAATAGTATTTTTTTTCTTCTTTCATTAAAACATGTTTTCTGCATTTTAGTGATTGCCATCATGGTGGTGTTTCCGAGCTCGCTGACGGAGGAAGAGGAGGCTTTACAAAAGAAATATGCTAAACTCAAGAAAAAGGTATGTAAGGTTTTTGGTCTGTACTAAATTGTGGAACATTCCAAACAGGAAACCATTCCTTTTTCATAATATAAGCTTCCTCTTTGCTACACTATACAGAGATTTAACATTTCATCCCGCTTCCAACATCGAAGACACACGTGAATATATAAAATAGCTATACTGAAGACTCAAATAAAGCTTTGTATGTACACTTTTTACCTCTCTATTCAGAAAAAGGCACTGGTTGCTTTGAAAAAGCAGAGTTCAACCAACCAGACAAACCAGAGTGGCTTGAAACGGAGTAAGTGCATCCAGCTAACCGCTGGATTTCTTTTTTTTTTTTTTTTTTTTTGACGCAATCACTCTGGTCTTTCTTATAATAAGGCTTTAATAAAAGTAAACATCAACATTATAATCTGAAGCACCAGCAACTAACTGGAAAAATCTGACTTGTCATATATGGGACTCATAGGTTTATACTGTAAAATTTAAACATAACACCAGTAGAATATTTGATCTAATCTAAGACATGTATTTTTTATTATTGTTCATTGGAGTGGCTTGTTTTAAACACTGGTTGTACTGTTATTTACTTTTTTTTGTCTGTTTCTTTTCTTTGTCAAAGCACTGTCAGACCAGCCTGTTGTTGACACTGCAACAGCAACAGAACAAGCAAAGATGCTCATCAAGTCAGGGGCCATCAGTGCTATTAAATCTGAGAATAAAAACTCTGGATTTAAAAGGTCTCGAATGCTGGAAATTAAGCTCAAGGTGGGATGTCAGTAAATACATTGCATGACCTGTAATTCTTATTTCTGGCATTTACGAGCAGTTGTAAAATTATTATTAAACTCTCCTCCTCACATGTGGTGGATTTTTGCTCTTCATGTCTCACAGGACCCTGAAAAAGGCTCAGTTCCTGCTTTCTTACCATTTCAAAGGAGTGTCTCGACAGATGAAGACCAGCCTGAGGTATAATACAGGACATTAAGCATTGCTTTACCACTTTGTTTCTGTTAAATTTAATATTGTCATATTTTTTTGGTTTCTTCTAGTCTGGAAAAAGAGCCCACAGGAAGTCTCTGTATGAGAGGTAAATTCCAAATCCATAATGAACAGCATGTTTAATACGCCAAAATTCTGTATCTGTGGGTCTAACTTGGTTTCTTTGTTTTCTGCTGCAGCTTTGTTAGTTCAAGCGACCGATACCGGGATGAGGACGAAGGAGGCAGCATGTCATCCAGCCGGGACATGGAGAGAGACAGAGAGCGCGAGCGGGACCGTGACCGAGATTTGGATGGAGAACGGGAAAGGGAGAGAGACAGAGAACGGGACAGAGATCGAGACCGAGGCAGGGAAAGAGACAGGGAAAGAGACAGGGAACGAGACAGGGAACGGGACCGGGAACGAGACAGAGACCGAAGCCGAGACAGGGATCGAGACCGGGAAAGAGAGAGAGATGGACCCTTCAGACGTAAGTAACCATTTTCTGTTATGTGAACTTTAGACCTAATGTTTGTCTCTTTGCATTTTTTTTATTTCCATATCTTCAGAAAAAAATCAGATGGGGAAATAAAAAGATGGGGCGACTGTGGTTCAGGGGGTTGGGAAGCTCATCTTGTAACCGGAACGTTGATCTCCAGCTCTGTCTGTCTTGGTCGTTGTGTCCTTGGGCAAGACACTTCACCTACCGCCTACTGGTGATGGCCAGAGGGGCCGATGGTGCGATATGGCTGCCTCTCTTCTGTCAGTTTGCCCCAAGGCAGCTGTGGCTACAACTGTAGCTTGCCTCCACCAGTGTGTGAATGTGAGGGTGAATGAATAGTGGAATTGTACAGTGCTTTGAGGGTCTCGAAAAGCGCTATATAGATGCAACCCATTATTATTTAGATGTGGTTGGCCAAGGCTTGCTTATCTTTTGTAATATACTATGTCAAGAGTTTACAAATTCATCCTTGACCTAGTCTGCTTATTTCTAATCTTATTGATAGGTGTCAAAAGGTCAAAATCAAATTAGGGGTTAAGAAATTTTAAGGCTGATTGCCTTACAGACGAAACACTAACCAGTTCTAACCAAAGATTATGAACATGCTGTCAGAGAAACCTGTTGGAAGATACAAGAAGAGAAAAGATGTGTTAATATAATAGTTAAGGAGAGGGTAGGTGCTCAGTTCGTCGTGGGCTTTAAAAACTGAGGGATTGTTCAAAATACCTGATCCAGACCTGAGCACAAACTAATCTAGTCTGCATTTTCTCGAGCAAGTGAAGAGAAGCTAACTGGAGAGTAATATGATCTCTCTCGGATTCCTGTCACTGCTCCTGCTGCAGTGTTTTGGATCATCATTCTTTTCAAAGTGGTTATTTGAAAGAGGTTTAAAGAGGTTTCCACTGTGATATTCGTAAAAGATCCAAAAATAGCCCTGGTTTGTGTACTTCTAGAAAGCTTTGTGGGAACAGCTTTGCTACAAATCCAATTATTGGCAGTTATAAAGTGGAATTAGTTTGTGGAAACGTGTTGACCAAAAAGTACATGTTAATACAATGAAGTCACTTATTCTGTACACAGTGCTGCTTCCATACTTCTCCAGTAATTTTTATCTTATTTTTTAGTTAATTTTTCTGTAATACTTATGGAAGAATAAAATTGTGAAAAAACAAGCTACATTAAAAAAACATTGCTGATTTATGATTTGTCCCTGTCTGCTTTTTTCACTCTCAGGGTCAGACTCGTACCCAGAGCGCAGAGGAGTGCGAAAGGGGAACACCGTTTACGTTTATGGCTCTGGGCTCGGCGAGGACAGCCTGCGCTCGGCTTTCTCTCAACACGGAAACATCATCGATCTCTCGATGGACAACCCACGCAAGTAAGGAGGCTTTAAACAAAACTGTGTGCTCATAAGTGTCATTTCTGCCTGCATTTTCATGCAGTAATATAAATAGTGTGACGATGATTTATTCTTCCTTTTCTGTTTTGTTCTTCTGTCCAGTTGTGCATTTATCACTTTTGAGAAGATGGAGTCTGCAGACCAGGCTGTTGCTGAGGTTAGTGCTATCTTTCTTCCTGCCACCCAGCTGTTATGTCTATTGTGTTTGTTTTTTGTTTTTTGTTTTTTTCAGGTATTGATTTGGTGAATGTCTAAATTGCAATACAGGCAAAGCTGTACCACAATAAGACTTTATATCTTATTGTGGTACAAAGGGGCAGGGATAGCTCAGTAGGTAGAGTGGTGGCCCCATGATTGGAAGGTCGGGGGTTCGACTCCACTGAACGGCGACCCTGAGGTACCCCTGAGCAAGGTACCGTCCCTACACACTGCTCCCCGGGCGCTGCACTGGCGGCTGCCCACTGCTTCACTGGGTGAATGGGTTAAATGCAGAGGAACTATTTCCCTATGGGGACTAACACGCACACTTTACTTTAAAGAATACACTGCATTATCTTCTTTGATTAGGTGCATGGTCAGCATGATCCCTCGAGTTGGCATAACGTTATCATACTGTGGCCCAGACAGTGGTTAAAACGATTAAAGAATTTGGAAACTCCTTCAAAGGACAGTTATCTTATTCAGTTGAATACAAGCAGCTCAGGGAGGACAGTATATCTTCCAGCTACCTGGGTGGTCTCAATACTGATTACTGCTTGGCTTCAAAAATGAGCATCTTCAGTCTAAGAAATCATCCAAAAAATCCAATTATTAATTTAAAGGGGGGGAAAAGTAAATATGACTCTTTGGTATGTCCACAAACATGCAGGCGCTTTGCCCTTGTGGCCTTCATCAGAGCACAATAATGACTTAATGATAAAGACTTGCTGTAGTTTTACAGGCGCCTGGTTTATTTCTACACAGCAGACTAAAAGGCTGGACTGGCTTTGCTGTTTTTTGTTTCACAGTTGAATGGAACCACGGTGGGAGACGTTCACATCAAAGTCAGCATCGCCAGGAAGCAGCCGATGCTGGACGCTGCCACTGGCAAATCTGTGTGGGCTTCACTGGGTAAATACAGCACTCGTATTGTGCGTTTAGACACTGATCAAACAGCTTGTGTGTCTGCACAGCGTGGATTAACCGTCACCCCTATCTTTCCTTTACAGCCGTGCAGAACAGCACTAAAGGCTCCTACCGGGACAAAAGGAACCAAGTGGTGTACAGTGAAGATCTTTTCCTGGGATGAAAAGTCCATGTTTTTGTTGCTCTGTTTCTGAGCTGCTAACCTGCTGCATGTGCTTTGTAGAAGACATAAAAGATTATCAGTAGCCTTTTTGATCAGAGCATTGTAGTTACTCTAGGCTGGATGTAATGCTACATATGCAGCTTTGCATGTGAAACTACACATCTGAGCTCAAAAAGTAAAAGAATTGTATTTGTGAATGTTTTCTTTTGTGTAGGTCACTCATTCATATTAAAAAAACATGCGACTTCTAATTTATATATTAAATGACTCAGTTTTGACTCTAAAAGTACCTTCTAGAAAGAAACATCTTGTCTTCTGAGATGTGCCCTGCTATCTGTTTTCATGGAAAAAAGTAGACTCATTATCCTCATTGTCAGCTTCATGTTTTTTATTCTTGGACTCTTCTGGAGTAGAATTGTATGAATCTAACCTTTTCTTATCAACCATTCAGCTCATGCTCTACAATAAGCCAGTTTAGCTCCTGTCCTTCGAATTGACTTTCTTCTGATTTGCTACTCCTTGCAAAAAGGTGTTGGTGGGGCTTTAGTGGATTAACAGTAACTCGAAACAGAGAAGTTTCTCTCTAGCTGTTTTATTTACTCATTCACAGACTCTGACTTGCAGTCAGTCACTGCGCTGACTCCACGTACAACATATTCAAGTTGAAGACTGCAGTTCTGAGTCAAAAACAATGTTAAAACGAACACTTTACACAGTAGGAAAAGCACAAGTGTGAATAATAAAAAATATGGACTGTTAAAATTTCCTCTGCTTTGGCTTCGGGGTCCTGGTATTGTTCATGCAGACTCATTGTCACAAACTAAACAGAGCCATCAGATATTTTTATACCAGTGTTTTACTATAATGTCAAGTAACATTTTTTTCTTCCTTTTTACTAAAAAAAAAAAAAAAAAAAGAAGCTATATGTGAAAAGTCTTTTATTTGGCAGCCAGAATGTAAAGGCATTTATTTTTTAGCACACACTTAATTTCCACATTGTGTTGACACTGATCACATGAAGACCAAATGTAACTGCAACAAGCCGTCAAGCCTGAAGTCTGTAACAAGACTTATTACTCAGTAACCAGACATTCTTGCTCCTCCTCTCGTATTCTCCCAGCTGCTCCTCTTGCTCTCTCCCTCTCCTCCTGCTCATGTAGGGAGTTCTGCCCCGTGGTTTTGCCGTGCTGCTCCTTCAGGTGCCGACGTAAGGCAGGCTTGTGGGCAAAGTGGGCGTGGCAGTAAGCGCAGCGATGAGGCCGCTCGCCACTGTGGAGGTTCATGTGGTCTATCAGAGTGGATTTTTGGGTGAACGTCTTGTAGCACAGGGGGCACTGGTGCGTTTTGCCGGCCCCTCTGTGCACGGCCATGTGCCGGGTGAGGTTCGTAGAGTGGTGGAAGTGCTTCCCGCAGCAGGGGCAGGCATAGAGCAGGTGAGTGGAGCGGGAGTGGATTGCGAGGGAATGGGCTGAAGGGAAAGTCATGTTGCAGTGCTCGCAGATTACAGGGCCAGCTACGCTGGAAGTAGACCCCACCACGGCAACAGACTCATCGCTGCCTTCGTTTGTTCCAACAGTCGTCAACCCTGAACTCCCTTCACCAGCACCACAAGCAGACTCTTCCAGGGAGAACTGGTTAAGACTGTTAGCAGGTATCGGTGAAACCTTTTCCCCCTGTGTGCTGCCCATGCTGAAGTCCAACTCTGGGATCTCAACCGTGACAATATTTCTTGATGCCCTCAGTCCTTCTTGGCTGTAGTCCAGGCCAAAGCCACCTCCAGCAGATGTAAGATACCAGAGATCCTGGTGTTGGGTGATGCCTATAGGTCTTTTCTCCTGAGATGACACCCACCTTTTTCTTTTTAAACCCCTCCCCCTTCCCCTTCCTCTGCTATGGCCAATATTAGTCTCAGAGATTCTTCGACTTAGAGCGCGGAGACTTTCTACTGAAAACTCTCCAGAACTGAGACCTGCTGGATTCAAATCATACTCGCCACTTTCTCCAATCACAACTTCTTCTGTCTCTGAGAAGTTGGCGCCTTGAGGTACCTCAGAGGGAGCTCCTTTTTCCTCCTCCCTGTCTCTGTCAGTGTGCTCATTTTCAGAAATATACACTCTTAACATATTGTAGTTCTCCTGTCTGGCCTCTTCATCCTCATCTGATGCATGGACCTGTAAGAGAAGTGCAGACTTGGTGAGGTGTCTAAGGCTACAACTAATGATGCCCGGAAACTACCAGAATATCCATCAAAATACCCATGTGTGCTTCAGACTGCTTACTCCAAACCACTTTTAACACTACTCCCATAAAGGTGAGATCTGACGACCTGCCCAGTACGCTTAATGATGATTTTTTTCAGGATTTTTCTTGTTCTTTCAAAAGCGTATTCTTTGCTTGAATAAATTAAATACCACTTTAGAAAAATAGGACACATGAGCAAAGGCTTCGGTAAATTGTGAGGATTTTTTTTTTGTCATTATCCTTAAGGTCTTTTCCAGCTCTATTCATTAGGATGGACACCTCTGCAACCTTCATCTCCTTAATTGGACCACATGGCTCCAAGTAGCTTTAAGGGAAGCTGTTAGGACTGAAGTTCACTGAATGTTTCCAGGCTGCACCGTGAGTGATTAATCAGGGGGGTAACAGTGTAGCAGATACCAGAGGCCAAAACAGCTCCATCTCACAGGCTAACATTCCCCATGCTTGGCCTAAACCCGACCTCTGACCCTAAACCATAAAAGTGACAAACTAAACACTAAACACGTGAAAGAAGAACCTTTTCGTCTCCTTACAGAGCGATACGTCGGGGTGAGTTATGGCAGATTTTGGCAGGACTGTGCAGAACCAACAGGATAAGAAAGTTCAACCAAAGGATCATTTGTACAACTGAAAAATCAGAAACTACAACATGTTCTTTAGGATACAGAAATGACCACAAATATCATTTTTATTCTATTTTGAGTAAAAAAAAATGGACTGCCATCCTATTCCAATCTAATTTCCTATACCCCTCCTCACAGAGACATTTCTTCTGATACTGCATCCCCTCTGAGGAGACATCTCCCCATGTCTCCACCATAAATCAGTACGCACACCAGAAACAGAGCAAAACTTAACTGAAAAAGAACAGCATTCAAATATATATAGTGTTTGTAAGCCAAATTATATTTCAGAAAATGCTACAGTCGGGATAATTGACGGTATGATCTTTAATCTGTTAACCAATGCTAGAATAAGAACTAAATTATTTGAATTACAAATAAACTACACTTTATTTTACTTTGTACAAAAATGAACTAAAGTAAAAAAAATATACAGGAAATGTGTAAACCAGCCCAGAGGCTTTGGTACATGACAGTAACATTCCGAGTGCAAGTCAGCTCTGTCGCCGACAGCATTCACTTAGCCGGCAAGGCGTCTTATTTTGAAAATTGACTGTGTTCTCTATGCAGTTTCTCTGTCTGACTTCCTGTCCACAAAAGGCCCCTATATGACAATTCAAAAACCCTAAAAAGAAACACTGAAAGCAATAAAAACTAAACTGAAATGCACAAACCTAACCGGGAAGTGAACTGAAACCAAATTCACCTGAAAAATAAATAAATTAAAAAGAATGAAAAATGTAAAAGTAATGGGCTGCTTATATCCTCTTTACTGAGTAATAATGTTAGAAATTTTGTTATGATCGACTTTAAATTATCCTTAAAATTAATCTTTTTCCTTACTCACAGAAAAGTCGGTTAGTCTAAATTATTTTACCAGACATCATGACAACATCCTATGCACAAGTACAAGTGATCTAAAATGTTATTAGAAAAAGAAATACCTTAATGAAGCCCTCATCCAGTGCAGCACTGTCATCATGCAGCTGACTGCTTCCCTGAGCAGACAATTCGCCGTTGCTCTCCTCCACCGAGCGCACTACAGGGCTGTGGGAGTGCACAGGGGAAGGCTGCCTAGGTGGAGGTGATGCGACTGAATGGACACTGCCGCTGACGATCACTGGCCTGGTTTCAGTTTCCTCTGTGGGCGTCTAGAAAAAGGATAAAATTTGGATGTTTTACGCTGATGTCAGCATTGTTAATATGGAAATTTCCTGTAGCATATTTTATATCCTACAGTAGGTTATATATATCCTATAGGACATTTATATTTTTTGTGTCATTGTCAAATCAGTTTCTTGATGTAAAATTCACTGTTGCCAACAGGAGCAGCACTAATGGGATCCCCTTAAACTGATTTTTAGTTTTAGTGTCCTTATTTTCCTCTAAGTTAACGATTCTGTCACATGACGTCATGTTTCATACTGACAGACGATGGCGCTAAACGTGTTTTAAAAATTTTAAGCACTTCTTTCGTAAACCCAGCTTCACGGACAGTTTTACATCTATGTCGCATTTTGAGACCAGCGCCTGTAAATTAGCCTTTATATGTGTAACGTTTCATGTCCCCTTTAAGATAAGCAGTGTGTGATCTGGCGAAAATGTATGGCATCACTGTGTTGACATAGGGCGTTGTGTTGAAAAAATAAAGTGTGTTGTACAGCTCTCTCTGTGCCCGTTCACGTGATATACTACTCAATATAGTTGCTTGGAATTTAACCTTGGGTGCTTACAATGACACTCAAAGTTAAATGTTAACCCAATCAAGGTACTCAAAATTGTGGGTAGTATAACGTTTTTACTGATTTTCACATTTGGTGTGACCTTGACCTTGATATTGGTAGGCAGCTATAACAGCTGAACTTGATTTTCACCTAAATTAAACAGCTCGAGCTGTTATTGGTATCTACCATCTCACAAAATTTGAAAATTATATCTTGAAAACTGTGGATGCTAGACTGCCAAAAAACTGAGATAAATAAACTGAACCGAGTACATACAAACAGGATTACAGAAAATCTACTAAAACTTTATCAAGTTTTGCAAGTTCTGAGAATGTGCACACAGCTTAGGGTGAAAAAGGTGCAAGATTTCCAGTTGAAAAACCTGTAATCAGAAAATAAAAAAAATTATAGTTGGACTGCTTTACGTGCTAAATTACTAAATAAATATTAATAATTAAACTCCAGGTAAGAAAGCAGGAAGAAATATAATTAATGTCTACTGACTGACCTTAGATTGACTGGGGTTCTTCAGCTGGACATATTTCTCCAGAGCTCCTCTGCAGCGCTCTACGATGTGCTCCATCTGAAGGTAGCTGGCAGCCGTCAGGTAGTTTACGATCTCCTCTGGGTTGAACTGCAGGATTCCAGTGTAGCAAGACTGAAGCAGATCACACACCACTGTGGAGCTGTACAGCATCGACACCTGGAGAAAAATCATGAACACAGAACAGCTTCATTTAATCTGAATAGGAGCCATAATCTCACATGTGCTGATGGGGGCCTACCTGAAGCCTGGACGATGGGTTGAGGAGGAATTGATCTCTCAGGAAGGGTGAGCAGGCAGCCAGCACCACCTTATGTCCCCTGAACGTCTGGTTGTTACTGGCCACGATGGTGATGTCGCAGAAATGCTGGCGGGATCTCAGTGAATTCATGTGCTTCAGGGTCATGTTCCCATGTCCCGGGAGCCGGAAAAACACCAACTCCATCTTCTGAGGAGAAACAAGAATCTGTAGGTGATTTCACTTCGTTAAATACGTACAGGTGAGCCTTTCATAAAAGATTAACAACACAAATCAGTTATTAGACTCACACAGTGTAATGTGATGAGGGTTTAAGAAAGGATATCATATCACAGGTTTGTATTCTGTTTATACTCA